GTAATATTCAATGATCAATGAATTTCAATGATTTCCTCTGACCTCTCCATCAATTCTTGATTACTTGCTTGACTCATTTGTGTCAAGAAAAAAAATCTGAAAAAAAAACTGATTTCAACAAGGACACTTACTAGTGTACAAATGTCTCCAATAAGACCCTCAGCAGACAGACTGATGTTATCACGATAGCTCGAGGGCAAGTTTTACTCCAGCTATACTATATCTAGCTGATGAAATATTACAGGTCAGAGCAAAACTAGAAAAATAAGTGGCTTTTCTGTGACTTTTACTTCGGAATCTGTTTTAAAATTCCCTTACACTGCCATGACCATCAGGACCCTCATTCTTGTCCCAAAGACCAAAACAAACATCTAATTTCTGTCTCTCCTGCTCTCTTCTGTGCTGGATGGTGGAACTCTGTCCCAAAAGGAGAGAAGTAATGACAATACTCATACTGACAGGAAATTAGAAGATAGAGTCTGTCTCAAAGGGCTAAATTTAAGGTGCTTGTTACTTAATCCCCATAATGCCTCACCAGGCATGAGCCGCCACATCCTCCTCCTCTAAGAGGAGAATCCATCCTGTGTGATAATTTATTTCCTCTCCCGCTACAGGTAATAACAGTTACAGGCCCTCTCTTCACGTCTGTGTGCCCATGTGCGAATTGTTGGGTAGCCTAAATCGGCACAAGAGACCCCTTTTGTACATCATGGAAAGCCTGCTGGGGATGTAATACTCTGAAACTGTGCTCTCTGCTGAGCTATGGATTATGGGAAGGATTCAAAGCCAGCATCTTTTGCTTCTGTTTTCCTGTTTCCTAGGGAACGCTCCGTAGTCTCTTTCATCACAGTGATAGAACATTCAGATGGCTGTGTATCTGACAATACCGCACCCGGCTGGAAGTGGTGGAGGAGTGGATCAATAAAAGGAATTGTGGGTATCTGGCCAAAGGTTCTTTGTAATCCTACTTGGTGAGTCTCCAAATGTTCAAAAGACATATACAATGTTATTATGAATATATAAAACCCATAATACCATTTACTTAACACAAAAGTTGTGGACAATTTAGGCTTGCCACATACAGAAATTTTATGGCATTATTAATGATGTGACTTGACAACAACAGTTCTTCAAAATCCTAATCAATAGAGAATATGCTTAAATGTACAGTTGCTAAAAAAAAAGCATCCTACAGAGCACTTGGGAAACTGTTCTTGTGATCCTTGGTTTCCTTTGATTTGTTTATACACAAGAAACTCATTACCACGTGCAAGTGGTTGCCATGGCAATGAACTATATGATACTTATGGGTGAAAATATTCTGCAACATTGCATATTATATTTTTTCTATGTTGTTTTAGATAACCCGCTGCATTTTGGTTGAATTTATCCTTAAAGTTTGTACATGAATGATGATATGCAATTCATTTTAGTTCAAATAAATAAATAACACACAACGTTTAGAATCAAAATGCCCTACATTTAGAGATGGGCGTATCGATACTGATGTGAGTATTGAAAGTATCAATACTCAAAAAATATTGATACTAAAGTTTTTTTTTTTTTTTTTTTACCTGTGATTTTGTTCATTTAACAAGAAATGTAATACATTGATACAACATGCACTGAATTTGAAGAATAACCATTTCCCTGCTCATCTGAACACACACAAATGCTGCAAGACAGAATCAATCAATCAATCACAGAGAGCATTCACTCACTGCTGACTGTCGGGTCTTGGGTCTGATCACCTGTCTCTGTGTTTGTGTGTTGTGCGTGAGTTGTTTTGACAGCTCGCCACGTGAGCATGTCAGCATGATCGTTGTCCCCGCCCTCCTTGTTTCACACCTGGTTCTGGTCATCTCATTAGCTTCCCCTTATAGCTCCTCGTGTTTCTCTGTATGTTGTCAGTTCGTTGTGATTATTTCCCTTGCTCTTACTGTCCGTGTATTATCGCTCACCAGTTCTGTCTTGTCTCGTCCAGGCTCCAGTGCTCGTAGCAGTCTGTTTTGTGTCCCGCACCTCTCTGTGCGTTCAGGAACCGTGGGCTACCTCCGGCATCCGCCTAACCTGGGACTCCGCGGTCTCGTTGTTGGGCTTCTCAGCCTCTCGCTCGGATTAACGGGCTGCCCCTCCGGCTCCGTCTCCTGTGCCGCTGCTGCGGCGTGTTCCAGCCACTGCTCTCCACCCATCGGTGTGGTTGGGGTTTCCACGACCTCACGAACTGTCCGCGTAGGCGCTTACTGCCCGCGGTGATTCTCTGCACAATAAAGCACCATTTGAACCCGCACCCGAATCCAGCCTCGTTGTACCCTAACAGAACGAACTGACCACAGATGGATTCAGCGGGATCGGATCCGCTTCGGTCTGCTCTCGTGCAACAGGGAGTTTTGCTGGGGCTGACACCTCATTCAAACAGAGCTGCGTTTCCCAAAAGTATCATAAGAAACCATTGATGCTTTTGGGAAATGCAGTCTTATTCGAGTACAGAAAAACATAATATGTTTGAGTTATTTCACAAATTATAATTTTTGTGTGTGTATGGAACAGAACTCACTCTCGAAACTGTGATGTCAACAGTAACCATAGCAGCATTTTGGTGTCTTGTGTTTGGTGTCCGGTATGAAGAGCTAATCACTCCTCCTGAAAGGGCTGGTCCTGTTGGTGTAAACCCACAGGGCATGAACAGGACATAAAGCATTTAGCCTCTTTTCTTCCGCAGAGGAGAATGGAGAAGGGTGAAAAGCGGAAAGATCAAGCACCTCACAAGTGAAAGCTGGGAAGCATTTTGGCATAAAGGCTGGGTTATTTTTCTCCACTAAGAGAGAATGTAGTGCACAAGGGATGAACAGAGAGTACGTGCAAATTCCTACATCAATAAGGTTTTGCAAAAAACCCAAAATGCCAGCGACTGAGCACTGATATGATATCAGCTGGGGCCCCTCGCACCACTCCTCAAACACATGCCACTTGCAATCATAAAGGGAGCATGTAGAAGAGGCTCTAGCATTCTGAATAGTTAGCAACGACACGTAGGGAGAGCCTCAATGTGTTTAAGTTTGCCCTCTCACGGACCAGGCCCTGAGGGACATCCTTTCTGGGTGAGAATGGTAGATTTTCCCATACGCTTGGGACAGGAGGTCCATGCGTAATGGGAGGGGCCACTGCTGGGCATACAGAAGAGGGATTATCTCTGCCAGCCATGGAGATTTGGGCCATCTAGGTGCTATCAAAATCAGAGTTAGGCTCTGTTCTTTCACCCTGACCAGATTAGGAGTTATTAGGCAGAGCGGAGGAAATAAGTAGAGCAGCACATTGGGCCATGGGTGGGCCAGTGCATCCACGCCAAGGGGGCATCCTTGTCCCATAACGATAAGACTGTGACAGAGCGGCAGAGATCGCATAAAGGGCTGAGATGAAGAGATAAAACCCACTTCATGAACCCACTTTTGCATCACGTTCTCTCTTGAATCGGCTATAATCAGCCAATCTTCAAAATATGTCAGGATCCTGAGACCCGCTATTCTCAGCGGGGCCAGGCCCGCATCCGCGCACAGGCAGAAAGTCTGTGGGCTGAGAGCCAGCCCTAATGAAAAGGGAAAGAAAATTCGTAGCATATGCCTTGATAGGCGAAATGAAGGAATTTCCTGTGCAAAGGATAAATGCTAATGTGGAAGAAAGGATCTTTGAGATTGATCGATGTGAACCAATTATTCAGATTTATTGAATGTAAGAGAGCCTGATGGGCATTACGGAGAACGGGATTGATCTCCTTCCAGAGATCGAGTGATGGCGACCCTTTCTCCAGTTGCTGTCCCATGTCAAACCAAGAGTTCGGCCTGGTAAGCGGATAGCAGGGAGGAGACTTGAGGGCTTTTACCGCCAAAGCCGAGGCTTTATAAGAGGCCTGATGAATGGACTCAGAGAAACGGTCCATCTTGCCGGGTAGAACAGGCTTGGGTGGGGCGAACAGCCTGCCTTGAGAGGGGTTAATGTGTCTGGCGATAGAGGGCTCGATAGTGTCACCCATACCGAGATTTGCCATGTCCTTAAACTCAAGACCCGCATGGCCAAGTTTGAGATTGAGCGGATCTCCCCAGTAGTCCTTCATATGTTTAGCACATGCCGGGAGGACGGGAAGGAGCTGTTTTCTAGGGCCTCAAAGGGGGACGAGTCGCATTGATTGGCCCAGCTCAGAGTGGCCGCACCACGGGAGGTCCCCGGGAGCATGCCGGTGTACCCTTTTTCCCCATCTGAGTCAGAGAATTCCAAGTCAATGCTCTGAGTAGCGGCCACCTTGAGCCTCCGATGCAGGAGCCTTGTAGGGAGCAACAAGCAATGGCTACAATTTTCCGGGAAATCAATGGCTTCTTAAGCGCCTTGAAGACCCATGCAAACCACACAGAAAGGATGGGGATCCCTAGCGGCGATGAGGATGCCGGGCAGGCTCGCAACTGGTTGTCCATGGGGGTAGCCGGGCTCAATTTCGAAAGAGCCATGAGTAGCGGACAGTAGATGGATCGAGGAAAAGGCAAGGTAAGAGGCGGGTAGCCTAGTAACAAGTGCGAGCATGGGTGGCTTGCAGATAAAACAGCTAACCTGGTAAAAAATGACAAACACGTCTGGTGGAGGCTGATCCAAAGATGTGTCCTCCTGTAGACAACAGTGAAAGTCAACCATAGCTGTGAATACATTTCCAGAGGGGGCAAGAAGCGAATGTCAACTGAGGAAAGTCATTTTAACAAGATAACAGAGTAGTCATGTGCAGGTAGCAAAATTTTGGTATGTTGTTTATTTCCAAGATAACACTTTTGAATTTATTATAAATTTATTGTTTGTTATTTTTTATAGCAAGATTTGGCAACACTGAGTCAAGACGTACCTCCTTTGCTGTGATTTCTTGCACCACAACTCTGAAACGCATTTAAATACATCATTAACAACTAATTGTTCAGTTCGGTGCTGTACACACAGCGTAGAATTTCTGAAAATGTGGCTGTCACTACCTGCATTTTTCAGGAGTCAATTCGGTTGTAGAATGTGGTTGTCACTCCCATAAATTACTGTACTGTGTGTGTACAAAAAGTACTAAAAGGTGAATTGACAACCGAATTTAGCTTCAGCATGTACGTGGCCATTGTGTAGTGAACCTTGCCCCATAGCACCACCTAGTGTCCAACCAGCTGTAATACCAGCGTATCTGCTTTGAATGCACAATCGTTCGGGTGTGAAAATGATGATTTTGTGGCATGTCTATTGGATATAGGAAAACGGCTCCAAATCGCAGAGTAATTTATTGTCCTGACATCAGAACATTATCCAAATCCAGTATGATTATTTTAGTAGCTTGGTAACAACACAACTGGGACCAGGTCAACATTTCAAGTTTCATTTTCTCTTTTGGAATCAGAACATGAAGTTAAACAGAATCGTTTTTCTTTTTTTTGAACAAGTCTTTTCTGGTTTGTTGCTTTCAGTGACACTGACATCAGCACATAAAAATTATATAGATCTATATTTATATTCATATTTATATATTTATCATTCTCTATTAACATCTCAGTGTAGCAGTTCATCATCTCTGGTCAAGTCAAACAGAAGAAGCCACCTGTCAGAAACAAAGCCTCTCATAGCAAACACTGATCAACGTACAGCAAACACTCAACTAACATTGAGAGACGTTTTTTTTTGTACATCTTTGGAGGGAATTAAGCTTGCAAAGTTAAGTTTTGCCCTCCTGGTAGTATTCCAGTGTTTTCTAGATGTCGCTTAATTCCAGTAGAACACACTTATGAAAAAAAACAAGAAAAAAACCCAGCAGATACAAATCGAAGCAGTAACTGGAAAAACTCAAAAATGTCCCCAGTGCTGATTGAAGAGATTTTAAAATTTGGCACAGTCAGTTAGCACAGAAAACTGAGATCAAGGTCTAAAACAGACAGTTCTCCTGCAAATATGGATGATAAATAGCCGCATTTATTTTTATTCCACACTGAGTCACCAAGAAAGAAAAAAGTGAAATTGAAAAAAGAATCTATGTCAAAAATCTACATCTATTTTTGTAGGCAGTGAGAAAGCACTTCATCGACGAGGAGAGTGGAATGATGCTCTGGTCTTCATCTGCTTTTGTTTTAGTTTCCACAGACATATTCACATTTTCAGAATGAACAATACTGGCATTTACATCCTTGCTCTTCTAACGTAATTTTGGGGAATGGACACTGAAGGTTAACACATCTCTCCGAGGATTTTTTATTTTTTTTGTCTTTTTCTTGTACTGTAAAACAAATACCCAAAGCCATGGGAAGAACTGAGTGGTCTGTGTAATTTACACAATGCACTTGTGTAATGCATTTCTTTAATGTACTCCAAATACTTTACATCAAATAAAAAAAAATAGAGGGGGAAAATGTGTAAAGAAAAAGCTTTTGATCAACCGTGACTTCAAATGAATGAAAAGAAAGTTTTGAAAATGGTGAAAAGCTGTTCCCGTAGCTCATTTTACAAAAGTAATTTTCTTGTGCTTACATACCTCATCTTCCTCTGCTATATTTCTTTTTTTTTGCCACTACACTTTTCAAATACCTTTCAATACATAACCCACTTTCTACTCCAAAGGTTAAGCTTTCGCGTCTCTTTAAAGTATGTGCTCTCTCTCATCTCACACGCATTCTTTCTCTCTCTGTCAAGGCCTTCTTTTCTCTCTCTCTCGCTTTCTTTTTTTTTTATTCGCCATGGAACCAGCTTAGACTAACAAAACTCTCTGAAAAAGGGTTTGTGATATGCATGCACATGCAGTTTCCTGGCCTCTATGTGCTCAAATTCCTAAACCCAAGAGTCGGGGGACGCGGGGTAGTGACTCGTTTCGTAGTTGAGTTCGCTATAGGGCCGTGCGGCAGAGTAGAAGTCCACATAATTCCCGGTGGACTTGAGTCCCAGGTGCATATTCAGATCGGTGGCGGGAGGGGGACGATGAACCTGATCCTCAAAAAATGGCTCCTCAAAGTTCCTAGTGGAGTTTTGATAGATGGGGTATGCCTCGTAGTCCTTGCGCGGGGGCTCCTGTGGTGCGGGCGGCACTGGGACCTGAGGTGAAAGAAGGATTTGTGAGTGAAGTTGATTAACAGAACCGTATAGAGTCTCTTATCTCAAATTTGGGAGGAAAAGGTAGCTGTTGTGCTTCCAAACACAGTGATTTGGAGCGGATGTGCTTTTATATGGTACAAGGCTCAACAAAGGATGGCCCAGTGCTATATCATACATTGTTTTCTAATGTACATACATTTGATAAACTTTTTAAACTCAGGTAGGTAAAATTATCTTTCGAGTATTTGTTGAAATTACAAGAATGACTTAGTTTTGGTAACATCAGTAAAAATTAGTTGAAAATGACAAATCAATCAGTAATGTTTGGCCATGTGTCTTTATGAATTTAATGCTTTTTGGAGTTTTTAAAATACTTTAAAACTCTATAATTTCCAGCTGTTATAGCAAAACATCTTTGCAAAGAAAACGTAAAGGTGTTATGAAATGGAGAATCAAAATATTTCAAGTTTCAAAATTCAAATCTAACTCGCCAGTTTAAAATATGAATAATTCTTTTCTACCCTTCTGAAATGCTCAGATTTGAGATTGGGAAAATCGTTATGCAGTTCTCCTCGATACACCCTTTAATATGCATCATCGTCGTACGTAATCTGAGGAGAAGTGTTCTGAACAACTCATGTCTGTCAATCAATCACAAAACTGTTGTGCTGCTGTACTGCTGTTGGATAGAGATGTCGAGTAAGACTCAATCTCAGACGTTGTTTTGTTAGTGGATGTAATGAAAACTGCACCCTCAAAAACCTTGCATCGCCACCTAAAGATCTGAGCATTAGAAATGCATTACTTCAGTTTATTTTTAATGACGTGCCTGAGAGACTGAGAGATAAAGTTTTTGTTTGTTCTTCACATTTCACAACGGACTGTTTTGTGAATTATTCTAAATATGCTGCTGGTGTTGTGCTGAATTCTGACTCCCGACTCCCCACCAGATTATTTTTTATTATGGATGTGGTGCAGTGAAGTTAGCTAATCGCAGCAGTGGGCATTTACTTCTGTTTCTGCAAGAGGTAACGCCCCTTAAAATTTAGTGTTTTTCACAGAGAGTGAAAATGAGGATGGAAAATGATAATTTTTACAAATATCGGATTTTTTTTGGTGCAAAACCTTTGCAAACTTCATTAACTAACCTCAAGAAACATAATACAAAATTCTGAAACTGCATTTCATGACCCATTTAATACTTTATGAAAACAAAAACAGAATCTTTTTCATATGCAGACATACAAATTAGATAATATAATAACATTCTGCCTAACATCTCCTTTTGTGCTCCATGGAAGCAAGCCATGCAAGTTTGGAACAGCAGGAGGTGAGTAAATGATCACAAACTTAATTTTTGAGTGATCTAACCCTTTAAATTCACATTATTCTGTCCATTCAGAGCTGCTTTCGATTCTGATTTGAAGCAGAAAATGAGATGTTACTAATTGAAAAAGATTCAGAGCTGAATGCTCTCCAGCTACAGAAAGGAAAGATCCATGTGGAAGCCAGGCTTATCAGTACCCAGCCTCATCGCAGCTGCTCGTCTGGGAGAGCATTTCTGTCGACTGACTCAACATACGGTGTGGTGCAGAAGTGTGCCAGGAACATCTGGCAAACTTAATCCATATGAAATCTGAAAATTTACCATGATGAACCTTGTCAAGTAGAAATAATATATCTATATGGCCAAAGTGCCAAAAAAAAAATACTTGGAGCATATAGTTGCAATTCATTAGTATAGCATGACGGCTCACAAAGTCAAATAAGCAGCATCTGAGAGGTCTATGCAAGAATGAATAGATCTTCAGCCTTTTGTTTGCCAAGACATTTCTGGATTGGCAGATAGACCGCTGCCTTGTGTTGAAAACAAGTGCTAATGACTTATCCTAACATAGCCGCATAACAGCTGTAGTAAATGTAAATGGTGTCTGATTTAGGACGTCTTTCCACAATCAGAGACACATTTCACATGCAGTCTTGGAACTGCAGTCCCTGTTTGACCCTGGTTATTTGAGTCGTCTCAGGCTGATTCTTTGCTCACCTGGTTGTGTTTGATCTCGTCATTTGAAGTCTCGTACGAGTTCCGGAACAATGTGGATGTTCCACAGGAGGTTTGAACTGCGGGGATGAAAGCGAGAGTGTGAATGTGCAGAGAATGTTTTTTTTTTTTTTTTTTATAAATCAAGCATTTAACAACTATGAAAAATTCTGGAAATTGTACTTATTGACAGTGAAACAAATCCCTCCTTTATAAGATACTCTGGCAGGGCTGAAGCTAGGAACTCTGAGCTCTATTTTAACCAAACGTGAGTCGGGGATAAGGCTTGATGGACCATTAACAGATTTTGCCCTTTAACACTAATGTGTGGCTGGCCAAGAGTTCAAACCCAGACAGTGTTATTTTTTTCCCCTCACATATATTAAAATACAACATTACAGTGTCTAACAAATCTTGATTTGTATATTTTTCTGACACATTTTTATACACAATACACTGAATTAATAATAGATCTTAGAATTTGAGCAAAATTATTGTACATATTTAACTTCACATTCTTTTGTGTGAACCTTTACATTTTGCAGCTGAAAAATAATTCACCATGGATGTTTTCGTGAATGGTGGAGTTCATACTTTGTCATGAAAATGTTTTTTTTTTGTCCATTCAAAAGTTATTTAACAAAAAAATCTCAGAAAACAGTGGATCTCACAGTTCTGTAAGTAGACATCTAGTTTTCTTGCTGTTAAGTACTTTGAATAAAACTCTGATCCTCTTCCTCCTGAAGTTAGACCTACCTGCCATTGTGTCTTTTCTGGAAGTGAGCTCTCCTTTGTTTCCATGGTAACTGGCATTGGTTCCAGTGGAGTCGTAGTCACTCTTCCTGTCCTTGAGGCTGATCATCTCTCTGGGTGAGGCGGGGGCGCTGGCTGCAATTCAAATCATCACACAAACCCTTCTTACTGAGCATCTGGGTACACACCGGCCTGATTTCACACTTTGTAGTTTTTACTATTTTCTTTCTTTTTTTATTTAGATATTGTTCTGTCTGCCTGTCTTAATGTCGGTATTACCAACTTTGACTGTTTTTTTCAGTTTCTGTTTATTTTGTCCAAATTCCTCTCTCTGCTTCTTACTGTCTTTGTTCATCATTTCCTGCCTGTACAAGGCTGGACATGCAGAGATGTGCATCATTATTCATCATTAGTGCTGTTTAGCATGACAGCATGAAGGATGTTTCCAACAGGTCCTGTACCAGCCAGCTCCAATCTACAAAGCTTCCCCCAAGTCAAATAAACAGGAAATCACACAAAAGGTACCATATTTGTCCTTGAAGTGCCATCTTTCGAAAAAAAGTCAAGTTATGACAGAAAAGAGTGAAGTTACCATATGACAAACGCCACTTCTATGGAAGTAATTAGACCAGAGAAAATATTAGGGGTTATGGGTTCTTGCTATGGTCAGTGAAGGCTAGTAATGGCTTACATGTAATCTGGATTTAACATTTAAATCTATAAACAAGTTATGTCAAAAGAAATCTAAAATGAATCCAAAAGCATTCAGAATATATTACCTAAAATTAGTAATCTCGATTACATTACTGACTACAATTTCAATTTCAACATATAATTTGTAATCAGTAACAGGCTACAATTTGTAAGTAATCTACCCAGCACGGGCTATGGTGTTGCTATGCAGTGTTCTGTGTTATTGTTAGAAAGTTGCTATAGACCTTATGTAGCCCTGTCTGTCCCTTTTCAACACTGCACTTATTGTCTTCTGTCTTCTGGTTTGTTTTTCCACAGCATGAAGGTAAGATCTGAACAGATTTATGAATGAACTCGTTTTAAAATTTTCCCGGGCTACTGACATTTGTTATGACATCCGCTTCAAACATTACAATGTTCATGATAACTTTCATTGACTTTACACTAAGTAAATCCACTTCACCAGCCAATTACTCTTCAACAGCGATGCCATAGAAATATACAGAGCTACCGCAAAAATCGAAGTTCAAACATGAAATTCTAATGATGGCTGCACACTTGTTTGTTCGGCACATAAGGTCTATACATTCTCTAGAGCAGCGGTTCCCAACCCTGGTCCTGGAGGCACCCCAACACTGCATGTTTTGCATGTCTCCTTAATCAAACACACCTGATTCAGATCATCAGCTCATTAGTAGAGACTCCAAGACCTGAAATTGGTGTGTCAGAGAACGGAGACATGCAAAATATGCAGTGTTGGGGTGCCTCCAGGACCAAGGTTGGGAACCGCTGCTCTAGAGAATGTATAGACCTTATGTGCCGAACAAACAAGTGCTGCTCTAGAGCATTCTGAGTGGTTGTGTTGCTACTCAGTTGTTAGAATGTTCTGAGTGGTTGCAAGGTGGGTAGCTCCACCCCCTGTGAAATCTCATTGGTCATTGTGTGGACTGACAAATTGCTTGTTTTTGGAAATGACACAGGCTGTGTTAGAAATGCCATACTATCATACTATTTCTGCAGTATCCAGTATGTATGCTGTGCATAGTATGCAAATTTTCTGTATGTATGTAATACCCGGATGACCTACTATATTCGCTAGAATCTGCTAAATATAACTGAAGTACAATGAAATCAGTACAGAAGCTGCCATACTATATTGCAGTATGCTGTGTGTATACTGTGAATAGTATGTGAATTTTCTGTATGCATGGAATGCCCGGATTACCTGCTACATTGGCTGAAATTTGATGTACGCATCTGAAGACGCTGCATGGGATAATGTTTCCCAGAACGCAATGCGCTCCATGTGACGTTTCTATCTTTAAACGCGTGAGTGAACTGGAGGTGGGGAATAGTAATTATAAATGTAACACTTGTATTTGTACGTATATACATATACATGTAAACTACAAACTATCACTGTGTATCTAAAAACAGTATCGTTAGTAGGACATAAATTGTACTTTAATCTCTACAGCACGTTTCCGATCATCAAATGACGTCACCTTGATTTTTATAGCGCTTTATACAGTACAGATTCTTTCAAAGATATTAAATAATAATAATATTGCAGCAATATAATATATAATAAAAAAAAATATATATATTTCATTTATGCAAACAGAATTCAATTCCACTGTCAAACAGCTCTAAAAAGAAATGGAGTGTATCACTCTAAGGACAAATAGACCAATTTGTTGGCAGAGGCTATTTACATTAACTCCGCCCACCAATGCCTGGCTGTGATTAACAGCACTGCAAAAGATACTTGCATTTCCGAAGTTTCAGTGGCGCAGCGATTAAAATGTGAGCTGTTTGCTTTTGACGCAGTCAACCCCAGTTTGATCCTGGCTTTTGTCAAACTCATGCTTCTCCTTTTCCCATCACATACCAGATCAGAAATAAATTTATTTTCAATAAAAATTAAGTAAATATTTGAAAAGTGGAAATAAAACGCCTCAATAATACAGTGTTGTGTATGCTTTAGGTAGGTTTTTGTCCCAATAAAGTGGCATTCATCTAATACAATTTATATATATATGATAATTTACACTCAATATGTTATTACATACTGTTTTATAACGTACTACAGTATTGATGTATAAATATCTGCCACCTAACTACTATTTACACTCCTGTTGCTAAAGAAAATGCGGCTATTTTAGTGTAAACAGAATTGAATGTTATTTGCACTTAGTGTAACTAGAATATATCGCTTTTTAATATATCGCCACTTAGTGTAACTACCAAAAATATCAATAAAGACAGCTCAGTGTTGATTTAGTTCTGTCCAATATGTAAAGTTAATCAATTATGAAATGAGTTTGGGCAATATAGCATTGTTTACTAGTATGAAGCCTTATTAACAAGCCTTTGTAGAAAGAACCGTTAGCTCATTTGTTTCTAAGGTAACAACCTTGACAGCTGTGCTGAATTAATGTTCAGTGTTTGTCATGTGACAGCACTTAAGCATACTACTCTGAAACATTTATTGCTTATTGTATACTGTTTCACACACTATTCTTTAAAAAATAGTAGGCAGTATGCACTGTGTACTGGGCAGTAAGCAGTAAGCAAGTATGCCATTTCGAACACAGCCACAGACTTAGGGGAAATGCTAGTAATGTGCAAAAGTTAATTCAAATACAGCACAACTCCTTCATACATACGTTCATACATTTCTTCATACAGAATTATTATCAGAGCAGATTTATTGTATTATTTAAACCAGGGGTGTCCAATCCTGGTCCTGGAGATCTACCTACCTGCAGAATTCAGTTCCAACCCTGATCTGGTACAGACCTGTCTGTAATTATCAAGTGCTCCTGAATATCTTAATTAGCTGGTTGTGATTGATCTGGGTTGGAGTTGAATTTTGCAGGAAGGTAGATCTCCAGGAACAGGATTGAGCACCCCTGATCTAAACTGTATCGCTTGATGTATAATTGGGCTGTTTGGCCTGATTTCTCTCTCTGTCCATGAGCTCTGTGTTTTGTCCTACCACTTCAAAACATCTTCCCTCTGTGCTTAAAAATCTCTTCCAGCCTCAATGCTCTAACCGGATCAGCGCCACTCCCCCTCCGGCCTCCTTCAGTCTGGTCTGATAGAGCCTGGATCCCTGGATAGTGGGCAGCAGCACAATCTCCAAAGCACACAGCTACCCGAGGGCTCACGGGCATGGAAGACCTCTCTGGCCAGCATAGAAGGATTTAGACACACCCACATACACACACATGCACACACACCTATTACTGATTAGCCCTGACCATGAAACATAAACTGGCTCATATACACACGCTCTTTTATACACACACTCCAATAAATCACATAATAGCTTTAAGCACCACTCTTCCCACAATGGCCAAGAGAAACATTAGCATGCTAATTATTTCAAACCCATAATCAGATTATAACAGCAAGTGCTTTACCCTCCTCTAATCTGCCTTGATATGACTCCTAATCTAATCATTGCTCTTCAACAAGGCATTATTTTGCAAAAATATGCACATAACTGATTATCGGTCTTAAATATTGAGGAGCTCCAGCGGTTACGGAGTCAACAAGCGATGAGACTCTCAAAGGCTCCTATCATGTTTCCATAAACCTCACGAATACAGATTTTCAGAAAGACACAAAGTAGTTTTGCAGAAAATCACTTTTGATGCATTTAACACAGTGTACAGTGCTTTCTGATTCGATTGTCTTCAGGTAAAGCTGCAACTCTACTGAACAGTTGATGACCTTAATGGTAGAAAATGAAAACAATATTTTTCGAAGTACATGAAAGAAAAATTGATATTGTGAAGATACGTGCTAGACAGCAGATCTTCGTGATTTAGCCAGATTTGGCGAAAGGGCTTTTGTGTCTGAGCTCCACAGGCATTAGGAGAGGAACAACTGATTATTGCTAAACTTGCGTATATCCTTGCCTACAGCACTGAATGGACTTGATTCTGAGAAATATGTCCTGATATACCTTAAATTAAATTCCTATGAAACCTGATGACATTAATTTGTTGTTGAAGTTAAATGCTAGTCAACTTGAACAACTATGTTATATAGGTTACAACAGGAAATTAGCAATCTGTATGTCTATAAAAACAAAACAAAAAAACTGTGAAGGCCAACTTCCCTTCTTTCTCAAAAATGATAAATTGTGACAATAAAAAGCTATTTTAGTCAGGGTAAGCAGTTCAATCTCAGCCACATCATAGATTTTATATGAAGTGATCTACAGATTGCTTCCATACACTTTTGATCCATTAACACAATGTGTATTTGATATCTCCACTAAAAAAGGAATACTTCACCCAAAAATGAAAATTTGCTGAAAATGTACTAACCCATCAGGCCATCCAAGACATAGATGAGTTTGTTTGTTAATCTGAACAGTTTTGGAGAAATTTAGCATTACATCACTTGCTCACCAATGGATCCTCTGCAGTGAATGGGTGCCGTCAGAATGAGAGTCCAAACAACTGATAAAAACATCACAATAATCCACAAGCAAGGTTATTATAGTTCTGAATTTTTTAATTCATTTTATTTTATTTTATTTCACACGTTTTCAAATTTGCCATAAAATTCAGTTTAGTTTTTATTAGTTTCATTCATATTTTTGTTAGTTTTAGTTTAGTTTTTATTTTGTGAACGCATATTTTTTCGTTTTTATATAGTTTAGTTTCAGTTTTAATTAAAGTTCAGCAGAATTAACAGATCACTTCCAGAGCGCAGGCCAAAGAAAGATGTAGGCATAATTTAAGCTTAGTGAGGCAAACATATAGTGACACAAAATTAACGCATGCTGAGATTGATTCGATAGTAAAAGTATACAAATACACGCCAAAGAAAGCAGACAAGCCTTTTTTTACTAAATTAATCTACACAAGTCGCGCTTAATGTCATATCCAATGATGTGTGTTGAGATATTTAGTATGAAAATAAATGTAGCCTGATTTGGTTATATGTCTTTTCTTATTTAACCATAATCATGATATTGTAACTGTGGTGTCTTGCTCACATTTCCGTGAAAAGCCGTGCATCAATCAAAACTGGGACTAAATTCTATAATAACGGTAAACAGTAAAGGCTTATATTTGAATGTTCTTTTCATTTATGAAGAATTATAAGCGCGTGTATTATGTGATTTAGCCAATGCACATTTGTTCAAAAGCCTGGCAGAATGATCACAAGATGCTTGGCTAAAGTTTTGTGTTGTTTACAGAAAGGATGCGCGTTCTCATCTTTTTTTCTTGTTAATTATCATGTTGCACTGCATGTCTGTTTTTCTTCAAAGCACCAACTTAGAATGACTAATGTTGGTTTGATTGCTTGTGTTACATGATAAAATAAATAATCTTGCTTACCTGATGTAATAGATTAAATGCGAGTGTGGTTCGGGTCACGACTCGCGGTCTTTATGTCAAACAGTTCTCGTCTGGTACAGAATTAAATTAGTGCTGCTGTCAGATAATGGGTCGGGTGTTCTGTTAAGTTCTGCTGGTGCACATTTACCAAACAGGACCCGTGCAGGCTTTAAAGGGGTCATATGATGCGATTTCAAGTTTTCCTTTCTCTTTGGAGTGTTACAAGCTGATTGTGCAAGTTTCGCTTTAGTTTTTCAATTATTTTGACGTTTTTATTTTATTTCAGTTTACGAAACTGTTTTTTCATCAATCGTTTTAGTCTTAGTTTTTGTTTACGAAAATAACCTTGTCCACAAGTAATCCACATGACTCCAATCCATCAAATAATGTCCTGTAATATGAAAAGCTGCATGTTTGTACAGTAAGAAACAAATCAATCATTAAATAAATCATTAGGACTTAAACCATTGCATCGGCTAAAATATGAGTCCTCTTATCCATAATATTGTCAACTTGTCTGAATCAGGAGAGAAATATGTGCAGATCAAACAAAAACAGTCCCAAACATTGCTAATCAAATATGTCTGTGGATTTTGATGCTAGAGAACAACAGGGGATGGACTTTTTCACTAGAGGAAGCATTATTATGGATTATGGACTGGTATTTTTTTTTACTAGAATTGATGGTTTAAAGTTAAAATGCCTTGATTGATTTGTTTCTTAAAAAACACAGCTTTTTGCTTCACATTACTTGTCAATTTCTGACGGTTTTATCAGCTGTTTGGACTCCCATTCTGACGGCACCCATTCACTGCAGAGGATACACTGGTAAGCAAGTGATGTAATGCTAAATTTCTCCAAATCTGTTCTGATAAACAAACAAACTCTACATCGTGCATGGTCAAAGGGTGAGTAAATTTTCATTTTTGGGTGAACTATTCCTTTAAATACCAGTAATAAACTCAATTGTACTTTATTAAAATGAACAAAGAGCTCTAAATTGCTGCCCTCAATGTGTCTCAGTAATACAGTAATAGCTGGCGACTCCACATCACGGCTGTTTGTGTTCTTAATGTCTGGCATCCCATAAAAGTATATCTGAAGGCCTTGTTTGGTGGCATTAGTAGCATCACCTCTGTGCTTCATGATTAAATTATAAAAGTGAGCAAAAAGGTTAGCAAAAACGTGTCAACTCTGGATTGAAGTTCATGCCAAAATAATTGATGTGGTTGTACGGACCAGGCAGAGCTCCAACTTAACTGAGCAGCTGCCTCAGAAACATTGATCTCGGTGTAATTTTAATGTGAGGTCTGCTGATATTAATAAAATAATGATGAAAAAATCAGCGATCTCCTCTCTATTATTTTAAAATGAAAATATTTACACTGTAAGGCATAAAGTAAAAAATATGACATCATTTTGCACTGCTTTTTTTGTTGAATTGATCCACTTTATTATTTTACATAAATATATTCATAAATGCACCAAGCACAAAACCATAATCTACTCTGCAAACTGTGTGATGAATGCTTTTATGGTGCAAATTCAAAGATGAATGCTTCCAGTGTATCTGTTGATTATAATGGGAGTGATTCACTTTTGATGTGTCACGACGCTCTGCTGGTATCTGCTCTAACTATACATTTTTGGTTGCCAAGCAACGTTGCTGCTGAGTGCATTAATACAGAATTAGACCATGCAGGTGCTTCAGGTTATATCAGATAATTTTACAATGATGTCAAATGTGGCTCATCCAGTCATATTTATAATCTATTACGGTTTTGATGTTGACAGAGATATTACTTATTGGACCAAAAGACAATTTACAATTTGCAACTAGACGGATGTACGGTTACTTCCTCTACAGTCAAAAATCTGGGTGTTATATTAGATAGCAACTTGTCTTTTGAAAATCATATTTCCCATGTTACAAAAACAGCATTCTTCCATCTTCCATTCTTCCATCTTAGAAACAAGTTACGAAATATGTTACCTGTTTCTGATGCAGAAAAGCTAGTTCATGCATTCATGACCTCTAGACTGGACTATTGTAATGCACTACTAGGTGGTTGTCCTGCATCTTCAATAAACAAGCTACAGGTGTTACATTGAGTGAAGCTGTTTTTGCACTTCAGCCAGGTTTATGCATTTGTTATGAATAATCTTATGTGTTGGTATGAGTCCATCCAATTCCAATGAAAAGAGAATAAAGCAAGAAAATAGGTACCTTTCATTTGTAAAATATTTAATTTAGTGAATCATTAAAAAAAACAAAAACAAAAAAACAAAGTTGATTTATAGCAAAATATTTCATATACAATTTCATATCATATCAAATCATGATATGATATGATTTTGTCTACTTGCCAAAAAAAAAAAAAAAAATAGAATGAAAAAAAATCCTGCTTTTTCAAATTTGAGTAGCTTTTAGCAATGGCAAATTAAACAACCTGAAACAATTGCAAAAAAATTGTTTTAATTATAATTCTTAAATTTTTGAAAATTAAAATACTAAACAAAATAAATGTCATACCTTAAATTTGATACTACAGTGTTGTACAAAATAATATCCATTAAAAATATTGCCACTTTTATTGGTGGGCGAATACACCCACAAAAAGACCATTTATATTGGTAAAGGATTTTATTGAAATAAAAAATGCATTAAACTCTCGTGCTCTGCTTGTTTGTTCATTTTTTTCCAAAAGCGGTTTCAGAACAGTTGCCAGAACTTTGTAATAATGAGTATACAAATAAAAATCTTTCCACACAGTGAATACATGTCTCTAATGCTGCAACAAAATGGCAAGGTCATGGTATTAGAAATAATTGCAGAGTTGTGAAGTGAATGACCACAACCAGCCGGCCATGAATCCACTAACCCCAATAGTAGTGTGGATCATTAACCCTGAGTCCCAGGATGCACTGAGAAATCCCCCATCAGTTTAATAGGATTCTATCAGGGTTAAAAAGAGAATCAACCTGCTGTTTGTAATTGTTTTAAATCCAGACTGTAGATCTCGGATTTCAGGACCATGGACAGCAACTCAATATTTCAGCACTGCAAATGTAAAATGTATATGTTGTCGTTGTTGAGAAAGATAAATACGTATACTCACCTGATCGGTTATTAGGGGACGTCCGGACTGGAGATACTGACGGAGTGCGTGAGGATGAGTACGGTCTCTGTCTGTCTCTCTCTATTGTTGAGGCCGAGCCAACAAAGTGATACTGTGAGCAGCCATCCTAGAAAAATAAAGAAAGAAACAGAGAAAAGTCTACAATAATGCATACATTAATTTGTTTTGTCTATTAGATGAGAGTGCACCACACAACATCCTTTTTTAGTATCAATGTACGCTACATTAGTCCACTGTTATCCTGTCAGTTTAGTTTAAGGCCTCCTAGTGTGGAGTCATTACAAAAATCAATGGGCAGATGGAGGTACAGAAATCAATGGACGAATGATCTGGAGTCAGTGGCTGTGGAGAAAGCCTGTTTGATGTGTGATTGAAGCAACCTGAAAGGCTGATGGAGGAGATAAACTAAAGCCATTGGCCACTGGCTCTATGACACGTCTCTGCGAACATCAATCAATGGGTCTGCTGAGTGTGCTGAGAGCATACAGTAATATACTGCATTATTGAAAAAGAGCAACTAAAGGCTGGAATACACTGTCTAAGTGGATTAAGTTGCCTGTATAAGATATTAAAGGCACAATATGTAAGACTGTTTTTTATTAAAATATCCAAAAACCACTAAAACTGTGTTATATATTTTGTTGACTTGTGTACTTACATTATACCCAAATGTTTCCAAGAATGTTTAAATCCAGAGAAATAAGCAATTTTAACTAGTGTAACGGACCGTGCCAATGATGTCATACACCCTAAATTTCTGGTTTTATTTTGTAGAAACCATGGAAACACCAAAGACGCTTTAATATGTTATGTGTTTTATTAGACAGGTGAGCAACTGTTTGGATACATGTATAGAAATGAAATCTCTGTTATATAGCTCACGCTGTATAGTCTTATGCTGTGTTCACACCATGTTGTAATTACGATAATTTCGAGATGACAGCACGTGACATTCTAATCGGAGATGTTCACGTACTTGCACTCAGAATTATGCATTTCTATGGCAACACTATCAACACCTAAACATAACACCTAAATGAATCTGAGGCGGTCAGGTGGTACAGTGGTCTAAGTTGTAGCTCTTAGAAAATTTCCAGTTTACAAGTTGTAATTATGAGTTCTACGAGGAAGCAAATGCTTTTTACAAGTTGGTATCTCGTAATTACGACATGGCGTGAATGCACCTTTATTGATTGAATCTCGTTTTCTTGATTTACTGCGAGTACCATGCTTTTACCATGCCTCGGAGAAAATACTATTTTGTCAAGTGGCTAACATTGCATAATTAGATACAGTTTTATTTGTAGTAACAGTAATAAAGCATCATACAATATATTTTAAAATTAATTGCATACCATTTAGCAAGCCATCCAGCATTTATTAATATGATATTCTAATATCGATGTAGCTTATTGCAGTGTGCAACAAGTGTCTCATAGCAGCTGCCGAGCGAACGCACAGAGTAGCACTATAACAGAACTTTCAACACAATCAAATGTATGTAGTATGATAAAACAGCACTGCTTTACCCAACATACACATGACCGGAATGAGAGGAAGCAGTCATCAAACTATGCATTTGTTTCTTTGTTTGTTTTGAATATTCGCCCTCTAGTGGTGAAAATTCCATATTGTGTCTTTAAGAGCATGTATCAGATTATAAATAAGTTCACTCTCTGAATAAATGATCAAATGATTCATACAGCTGATTAATGCGGACATTACTGCAGGGCATAGTACAAGCGTAAAACCACCAAAATCAGTAAAGATAAACAGTGAGAAAAAAATTTCATCCCATTACAAAACTTTAACATCTTACAAGGTCTTAGAATCGGTCAATAATGAAGATGAAGTTTTGTTAGCTAGATTTGTGCAAACAGGCTACTGATGTACAATGAGGAAACAAGGAGAACATCTGAAAACTTGCGGCCAACTGAACAAGCCCTCTAACAGGAACACAGAACACTACCCTTGACATCCCATTTGCCCCTCCGTGACATTCCTTTTGTTGGAAAGGTGAGGAATAGATCAAACAGTCGGTCCCTTCGACTCTGTGCAGTTCAAAGCTGCCCTACTTTCCCAGCATGGCAGGAGAAACCACCGCTCTCCACCTAATGTGCCTGTTGCAAATAATGACATTGGACAGGTATTTGAAGGCTCCAAGGGGCGTGAAGAGAGGCACGGAACAAGGAAAAAACGGTCCTTGTCGCCTGTCGACTAAAGACCTCTTCAGTAGGGGGAGTTTGTCATTTCCTTTTATTCACGCTGTTCTAAGTGTTACTTGAAATTTCAGGTTCAAACATGAGAAAGAAATTAAAACTTTTACTTTTATTCTCTATGATGATGGGCCTTTGGGCTGGCTGTGCAATAGAAGATACCAGTATGGATGGATACTTCTTTTGAAGACGTTTCCAATATTTGAAAACAATACTTTCAGGGAAGACTGAGTTTCAATGTGATTAAAGAATATTTTTGCGTTCATTACATGCCATAACTCCTTTCTTTCTTCTTGGTTAAATGGACTTTTGTGCTAAGTCAACTGCTCTTGAGGTGTAAAAATGGTGAATGTTAAATGCATGTGCGTCTTTTAAACCCAAAACCCTCAATTTATTCTGCTAATTCCAGTTGAATGCATGAAGCACCATTACAGGACTGATTCTGACTCAGACCAAGACTGAAAAGACCAAGCAGACCATGCAAAGATGAGTCATTTATGGCAACCTGCCTATCCGTGATTCCTCAATAACGCTGCTTAAGAGTCAGACAGAAAAAAAAACTTCTGGTGTGGAAATGTGCACAGAAGCAAGCCAATGGCAAGCGCTCATTATTATACTCCCAGAGGCAGATGGAGCCAGGAGCGTTGCTCTTGCTGAGTTGGCTCCCTTGGGTCGCTGAGGCAATTGACTTCCCTGATACTTCCTTGTGGAGAGTGTTGAGGAGGGATGACTGTGGAATTGCATCTCAGGAGGCTGCCAGGCTGAATGTAACACCTCTCAGCACAACATGTGTGAGGCTTTAGGCTCAAGATCAATGGCATAAGCAACTTCTCTCTTCTCTCAGGCAAGAACTTTACTTCATCTTAGACCGGCTCTACGTCATACTGAGTAAATCAAGCCAAGCGCTTCTGGGCTTTCTCACAAACACACACACCTTATTAGTAGATGGAGCTGGAAGCCGTCTGCACTTCAAAGATTTCTGTTTAAGCAGATCAACTGCTGTAACTTTATATGAATTAAATACATGTTATTATGCAAAATTATAAATATTTATGCATTATAGGCCAAAAACTTTTCAAAAAGCAATTTTCAAATGTTGCAAATAATCTGTTTACTGTACATCTGTACCTCCCTAGAGCATAAATGCAATGCACAAACTCAAACAATACATTTATGAAATGTATGAATCATTCAGGCTTATATATATATGGTATTTTGGCCCATTCCTCCATGCAGATCTCCTCTAGAGCAGTAATGTTTTGGGGCTGTCGCTGGGCAACACAGATTTTCAACTCCCTCCAAAGATTTTCTATGGGGTTGAGATCTGGAGACTGGCTAGGCCACTCCAGGACCTTGAAATGCTTCTTACGAAGCCACTCCTTCGTTGCCCGGGCGGTGTGTTTGGGATCATTGTCATGCTGAAAGACCCAGCCACGTTTCATCTTCAATGCCCTTGCTGATGGAAGGAGGTGTTCACTCAAAATCTCATGATACATGGCCCCATTCAATATATATATAAATTTAAATAAAAAATATCTATGAAATTATAAAAAAATACATAAAAAAAAGTAGGAAGAAAAAAAAGGAAAAGGAAACTAAAGAATACAGGACACACAGAACTACGATTATTAATAAAGACTGTTAAACTCCATAACACACAACTTCCTCCCATACTGGCTCGAAGCATCAAAACCAAAAGATCACAGATGCTTCCTGGGCACGAGGCCATTGTTCACAGCCTTGGGAGGTGTCTGACTTCCCAAACCTCTTGTTTTTGCTTTCCTTCCCTCTTGTCTTCCCTGTTCTCTCTTGGCTTCATCCATCACACCACCAAAAACACAAAGAATCGCGCCTCAGGTGGCCCGACTCATCCAATTGACACCTTTCATTTCAGCGGCGGGAGAGAAAGACACATCCACGTGGAACAACTGTCATTATGCACTCATGAGATGAGAGACGGGGCTCTGCAAATGTTAATAATAGCAATCTCTTTCTTGCTGCCCTTTGCTTAATACCATCCCCGGTGACATTTCCAGGGCTCAGCTGGGATGGAGGAAACAGGTTAGGTTGTGGGAGGTTTTAAAAATCTTTGCAAACCCAGCCTATATGGGGGCGCTCTATCCATAGAGCTCTATATCTCTAAAACCAATCTGAGAACGGTATATAATAAGTATTACTGTAGATTTAACGACTTCGGCCTCTCTGATGATGCATTTATAGCTCTGGCTGTCCTCCACATCCTTGACCTCATCACTTTATCTGCATCAGCTAAAGCAGCTGTTCAATAACCTGCCTCAAGGCGGCATACGAACACAACGCCACTGTGAACCTGTGAGCGCTGTGGTCTTTGTTCGATATTATTTATAGATATTTAGTCAGCTAGCATAATGGGAATCGGTGTTCTATCTAATTACTCTCTTTCATTATAATTGACACATGGTACCTTTTCGTCCAACCCTCTAAATATAAAAAAAAGACAGAGAGGGTAATTAATAGTATGTGCACATGAAATTAGAGCTTGTAATTCGACATTGGATTTGATGGTGACGAGCTTAGCGGGGTAAACTCACAAACATCCATAATTACATATCATTACAGACATTTTCAAACAAGCATTGTGAATTTGCCCAGCGCTGTGCTCTCTCTCTGACACAGTATGAGGAGGGGGCACCATTGTTTCCACAGACACACTTCTAAACTCATCTCAGCGGCGCAGGCAACCGGCTCTTGGCCTTTTCTCATCTCTAAAGGTCAGCATGGCATCCGTTGCCGTCTCCGTGGGCTGTAATTCTTCGACGCCTGCTCTGCAGAGCCAAGTGGACGAAACGACACATTATAGAGCTCGGTTCGTGACGTCCCTCACCACCCAGAGTCGTATCTGTCTGGACGGAGAGTGCTCAGCAAACGGGAACGGTGTGTTCTCGCAGCCTAGAGGCTTCTGGGACAGTGGTCTGTCACAACCCAAAATTTCCATTCTCATGCTCTTACTAGTAGTTCATTTGGGAACATTTTGGTTTGGTTTGACCTTGTTAATGTTTAAGTCTACTTTGGCTGCTCATTATCTGTGTTTGAATGTAATACGAGAGGTCTGTAAGGTCTGAGAGGTCATGTAAATAGGTTAATTCCTATTGCCCTTAATTAAATGGGGGAAGTCGTGGCCTAATGGTTAGAGAGTCGGACTCGTAACCCAAAGGTTGTGGGTTCGAGTGTACAGCGCTCTCTCCCACCTTCAATACCACGACTGAGCAAAAAACTCAGCAAAAAACAATGGCTGCCCACTGCTCTGGGTGTGTTCACGGTGTGTGTGTGTGTGTTCACTGCTGTGTTTGTGCACACTTTGGATGGGATAAATGCCCATAATTCTGAGTATGGGTCACCATACTTGGCCACATGTCCCTTTTTCATTTAACTTTAAATGTAATTTTATGAGCACATTGTCTATTTAATGCCCCTAAAAGCTAGCTAAAAATTTTGGCTTGGAAATTAAAATAAATCTGCTTTTCATTGCTGTTGCACAGAAATATGGCAACATTCATACAAGGTCTCCTCACATCAGTCTATTCACCATGCTGTTTAGACCATACAATACGTTCTGAATGCAGTCAGCGCTAGCCAAGGCCAAAGTTTGCCTCAATAATCTGCAAGGGAGACGTCTGAACAGATACACACAATAGTAAGTGCAACAAGCACTTATTGAATGGAAATATCTCTTCAGCCTGGCCGTTACTGCTCAATAGAGCATTCTTTGCTTGTCAGTGCGGATTAATGTTTTCAGTCGGCTACAAGGTGTTGTGCTGAATAAATAGTGGGTCGCACATCTTTGTCAGGGAGGAGGGGTACAAAACTCTCCAGTTTTCATTCTAAACTATTGTCTCTAAAAGTTCAAACAAAATGGTGTGGGAGTGGGAGATCAGTTATGTGATGTCGCACTCATGTGATGACATCACAGTCATGTGATGTCGATTAATGGCACACGTCATTATGTCCCCACGCGACGCCATCCGACATCCCCTCCGGAATTTCACGTATAAACATATAGTTCGTCTTCGTGATGATGCCATGTACAGTTTTGGGTGTTTAATTTTTAATTTTATGAAAGCTTCAAGTGCAGTTAATTATTTGTACGTGCATACAGACGATGGCGGTGTTGAAGTTCTTTTATTTGCCGTCAAACGGTTGAACACTGCCGTGTGTGTATCCTGTCGCAAAATGCAGCGAAAAGTCCTGCACGACGGTAATAATGTGATTAAGGTGTTTACATGTCTATACTGCACTTTATACTGCACTATACTGCACAGTAATGCGACTAAAATAGGAATACTCCACATGTCTTAATTCGATTTCATTCAGTTAGCATGCTAAATTAATTCCTCAGGTTGGGATGAATGAAGTGGGACACAGCTGTCATGAGTGGAAGCTGGTCTCCTACCTTCTTATAAAGGCTCCGGAGATCTCTGTACTGCCACATGCTACTGAGAACCTGAGATGCTGCCTTTACCACTTTAGGTGAGTGTCTGTGTGTGAGAGAGAGAGAAGAAAACAGACAAGTAGAGTCAACAGCAATAAATGGACATATGTTTCAACAGGCATTCATTATTATCTGTTAAAATTTGATACATTTTTAAGAGCATATCACTGGAAGATTTATTACAATAAGTAAATTATTTTATCTAATAATTATATTAAATGGTTGTATATTAAATCATATTTATATTATTGTTTATTTTCTTAATATGTAATTTATTTATTAAAAGGAATATTATTAAACAACATAAAAATAACAATAGCAATAAAATGAAAAGCAATTTATTAAAAAAAATTCTAATGCAATGAAAAAAAATTAACTACTTTATTTAACTAAAATTACACTACTATTCAAAAGTTTGGGGTCAGTAAGATTTTTTTTTCTCAGAGATTTATTTTACTTTTATTCATCAAAGAATCCTGTAAAAAAAAAAAGCATCACAATTTTTGCAAAAATATTAAGCAGCACAATTGTTTCAACATTGATAATAAGAAATGTTTCTTGAGCAGCAAGTCAGCATTTCAGAATGATTTCTGAAGGATCATGTGACAATGAAGACTGGAGTAATGATGCTGGACATTCAGCTTTACCATCACAGGAACAAATTACATTTCTGAATATAGTAAAATAGAAAACAGTTATTTTAAACTTGTTTTATTTTAAACTGCTTTTACTGTATTTTGATCAAAGTAAGCCCTGGTGAGCATTAGAGAAGAAAAAATCTTACCAACCCCAGACTTTAAAAGAAGTGTGCTTTTGATGTTTTGATGGATGATATCACAGAAAAATAATTTTTTGAATATACTTCGTGTTGTATGAACTGAACACACAAGCCTGAGTTACATCAATATAACAGTGACATCTAAAACAACACATTTTTTAGCAAACTAATGGTAAAATGTTTACAAAATATCCTAACTCTAAGATCAAAATGCCAATACCAAAATATAACAGAGGAAAATGAGAAACCAATCCTGATACACTGAGCTCAGAAAGCATTGGATGCCATGCGTTTTCTCTGCTTTCTGAGCAAACATCTCACACGGACAGCAGCTTTTGTTATGATTAACAATGCACTAACAAAAGAAACAATCTCTTGGTTCTCAAAAATGACACAAATTGTTTGACTTCAGCTGAATTGATAAAACAGCTGTGTGTTTTGTCTTCCGCTGAGCCGAGTCAATCCATTTCAGCTCAAAGGACACAATGGAACAGTTTACAATTGCCACCTGAAATGAAGTTAGAGGAAAATCTTTGCCGTCCTTGAGGGAACATGGCTTTAATAGAGGAAATGAATGCTGCTCATCCTTCATCATTTCCTCTCATAAATGGCAAAATGGATTCTTAGAGGTGGAGCTGTATGTTTGATTTGTCCCTCCCCTCATTTTTCAACATGGATTTTAACATGCTCAGATCTTGAGTTGAGTCAGGCACTATCTCAAATTAAACTCCCTTATTTGTTGATGTAAGGGCGCAAAGTCGGTCAGATTTGCTGTGAAGTTTGCATAAGTGCAGATTTCACAAATGGAAACCATAGAGTAAGCGAAAAGTTGTGTGCCAAATAGTATGTTTGGGAAAAAGTTTTAAATTACAGTAGATTTTTAATACATATATAAAAGCAGTTTCTGTATTTGTTGCTTTTTAAATAGCTTATTAAAAAAGTTATCCAGTCAAGAGCAGTGAGTTCATTATTTTGCTTTGTCATGCATGATGTGTTGAGAACATATCACAATCTGCACCAAATAAATCCACTTCAAATCAAAAAAGTCATCAAATCTGAGGCATATCACAACAAGCACGCTGGTTGCTGCCACATGCCAGGACTAAATCAACCGGTTGCATTTGGGCTATATCCAGACAAGCAAGCACCCGAGTGGCTTGTCCCTTTGATAACCTCTCAGCAGGAAACTGGAAGCAGCTGTCATCACCATATTGGCTCGAACGGGGCGGGCACAGTGTATGAATATCTGATGCGGATATAAAGCAGTCGCATGAAGTGTCAGTTTGATGAGGGTCAGACTAAAGTCTTTGACAGTGTCATCACTCACTGACTACGTTTACATGGACATCAGTAATCTAATTATTTACCTTATTCTAAATAAGCCAATATTATGATTATGATGTTTACATGAGTTGCTTTTAGAATATTCCTTTCATGTTCCCATTTTACATGTTATAGTACATAGTTCGATTAATGGCACACGTCATTATGTCCCCCACGCGACGCCCTCCAACGTCCCCTCTGGAATTTCACGTATAAACATAGTTCGTCTTCGTGACGATGCCATGTACAGTTTTGGGTGTTTCATTTTTAATTTTATGAAAGCTTCAAGTGCAGTTAATTATTTGTACGTGCATACAGACGATGGCGGTGTTGAAGCTCTTTTATTTGCCGTCAAACGGTTGAACACTGCCGTGTGTGTATCCTGTCGCAAAATGCAGCGATAAGTCCTGCACAACGGTAATAATGTGATTAAGGTGTTTACATGTCTATACTGCACTTCAGTAATGCGACTAAAATAGGAATACTCCACATGTCTTAATTCGATTTCTGTTTACTTCAAATATGACTTTAGCCGGATTAAGGTAATAAAAAATCTCTGTTTACATGGTAGATTCTTAATCATGGTATTGTGTTAATCGGATTAAAATCAGATTATTGTGGTCCATGTAAACGTACTCACTGTCAGGCTGCCTACACTTGCTGTTTCTAAGAGACTAAAGCAAGCAGCATATAGAAAGGCTTGATCAATAAATGATTATTATAAAATATGATTGGATGAAGCACATTTGAAACACCTGTTGCGTGTAATAACATGCCATGTATTGCAACTGAATATATCTATATTAATACACCAAATCTATAAATAGAGGGCACAATAAAAATAAATATAATAAATAAACAAGAAAATAAAAAAATAAATAAAATAGCAGTACATTTTAAATAAATTTTTTATTATACTATAACCCTCCTTATCAAACAACAAAATAAAATTTAAAAAAGATTGATTTTTATTTCAGAATGAGAAATGAACTTTATTTGGCAAATGTACACAAACCCAGGGAACAAAACAAAACGGTTCACTGTCAGGTTTAAATTACAGCAGTTTGCAATCTCATCAGGACCACTCTGTATATCTTCTGGTGATTCACAAAACCAAAATCAAGGCTGTTACACAGTGGTTTTTACCAAAGTTAAGGGAGTTTTCCCCCCCTGTATTGTAATGGCAGATAACACCCCTTAACTGTGTTAAAATCTTTGTTACATACAGCCTCTTGTGACATTTAGCTTTATTCTCAAGGATGCAGCAATACAAACATCAGCTCTTTTTGTCTATTATGGCAAAAGTGAATGTGTTCTACCTCCATGTTTGCTTTTCTTCATTACAGTTCAGCAAGCACTGAATAAGCGACTTGTGTCGGGTACATTGCTGATGTATATATGATTTAGCTGAACATCTGTAGACAATGTGGAAGCCTTGAAGTTCATGAAATGCTTATTGAGGTCTGACTCATAATGTTTATCTCATTGAAAAGGTGCTGGAATAAAAGTAGAACTGTGTAACTGAAAAATAAAATGTCTCCAAGAGCAATGCACAGTTTCTGGTGAACAAAATATCTGGCCAGCTCTCAGGGTCCATGAAAGCACAAGCAAAAACAAAGCCATGGCCTAGTGGTTAGCGCACACTTCAGGCCATTTTAGAGGTTAGTGATAAGATGAAAGCCTATTATAAAAAAGCAACTTACTTATCTCCTTTACTCCTAGCAATACCGATGAGCTTCTCAATGCCACCGGCGTCTCGTAAGGCCTTGGCGTTCTCCATGTTCTTGGTGATGACCTCGTGTAGGGCGCAGCATATAGCCGTAACGGTGTCATCGCACATGGTTTTACCCGCTGTGCTGTTTGCCGTACCCCCGCTGCTTCCGCTAGCATTGCTCCCACCCGGGAGCCGGTGCACCAGGTCTCGCATGGCATACTTACCTAGACAAAAAGGAAAAAATAGACAGAAAGAGCATATGAGAATACGGTGATTAGCACTGGAATAATTATGATAGTCAGGATGAAATTTTTCAGTCAGTATGACTATTGTGCTACAATTTATTCTTAATCTAGAGTATAATAATGCAGGAGCTGCAACAATTCAAGAGTGTCAGATGTGTCGGTTTAAACATCGCTGGATTTCTATGGAGGGGGTGTTATCCTGACTGCAGCGTGGATATATGACTCATGCTACTTGAACAAAGGAAAGAAAATATGAGAAAGTGTGAAAACTCTGACATTAAAAGAACAGCAGGGGATGTGTAATTTAAATTGACTTGGCAACACTCAACAGCACTGAAAAAAGAACTTGACCAGTGGGAGAAACAATATGATTCTTGAGTTTATGTGTTTGTGAAGGTGAAACATGAGACAAATTTATGTCATAACACACTAAGAGATATTAACAGGCAATCACAAGCGCAATGATCGCTACAGGATGTTGAGTGCTCTTTCCTCGCCCAGTGGTGTAAGGTACACCCCCCATGGCGTTATGAGCCAATTATATTATGGTTAAATTTGCCAAGAGAGGTTTTAGTCCACATAGAAGCCATTTCAAAGTGGCAAATATAATGTTTGCTTACACAGGCTTTTAATGTTATATAAAGGAGGACCACAGCAATTTACCCTGGAATAACAACCATCTGAAACAACGGCATTGATCCACATGCACAGAGGACAGGAAACAAGACAGGCCTATGTGAGATAACCTTATGGTTAAATGTTAAGATTAAGTAATAAATAATCATATTGTCACACTGTGAGATATAAAGTCACATTATGAGATATTAAGCCTCATTATGAGACAGAAATTCAAACGGTGAGATTTAAAGCCACATAATGAGATAGTAGGCCACACTGTGAGATATAGTCACATTATGAGATATGAAGTCATATTTTAAGATTTTAAGCCACACTGTGAGATATAGTCACATTATGAGATATTATGCCACACTGTGAGATATAAATTTAAATTGTGATGTATACATTTAAATAATGAGATACAGTCACATCGTGAGATAAAAAGCCATATGACATATAGTCCCACTGGGAAATAGTAAGTGACATTATGAGATATTAAGCCACACTTTGAGATATAAGAAGTCCCACTGTGAGACATGATTACACATTATGAGATATTAAGCCACACTCTAAGATATAAAGTCACATTCTGAGATATGAAGCCACATTGGGAGATATAAAGACACATTGTGACTTTGTGTTATATGCTAGAAATCTTAAAAGGAATAAAGAGAAATAGTATTTAAGAGAAGACTAAATCTCCTACATACAATTAACACCATTATAACAGCTTGTACATTATTTCATCACTTGTAGGCAGGGCCTGCTTATGATTTTTCAATGCTGCTTTGACAAGTTCCTTCCACAGACCTGCAAAGGGCCAGTGAAGGGACTGTAGAAGTTCTTGCATTACCGTGATCTCAACAACAGAAATACTGGTACTGCCATGTCAAAATAGGGCATTATATATTTGTTGTTTGCACGTAAGAAAATCTAAGGTCTAGAAATGCCTACCATGCACACATTTAGTTCTGCTTTGGATAAATGTAAATAGCTTCAAGGAAGCCCACTAGCAAAGATGGCAAGTGTCTACAATTTTCATTTTGTTGTTGTTTTGCAGCTCCAGAGAATTTTTACATTTAAATGCAAACAAAACATGAAATGCTAATATGTGGACATCTGTATTAATGATAAAACTGGTGTATGAACACAAGACTACAAGATATTTCTGTGAAATAGCCATGCAATTTCAAGAACAACAAGAAACTAGTTTGCAATAGAGTATTTTCCAGATTTCATGCGGCCACTTTAATCATCCAAGCGCTCCAATATTTTGACCTTTGAAACGCAGAAATTTTTCTCCTTCTAGCACCCTATTATTCTATCACAGAAGCACACAGCTAATGAAATTAATCTAAGGCTGTTCAATTCTTTCCGCTAATTCCAAATGGTCTCAGAAGGAGAAACACAGACATCATTTTCTACATGAAGCATACTGCAGAAGGGCTCCGTTTTACCACCAATAAGCTTCCAGTTAATTGGTGCCTTCTTATCTTGTACCCACAGGCAAAATCGTTTGTCTTGCGTGAGCTGACAATATGGAGGCAGTCCAATGAGATGTGAGATTTCTCTGAACAGCGAACTGTGGGGAAAACATGATATTTACAGAATAATCAAAACCTGGTAAAACTACTGATCAGTGATATCATCTCTTCTTGTTCATCTCCAATATTCAAACAATGAACCTCTTCATTACACCCAAAGTGAAATAAATGGATGTCTTGCTGCTTCAACATACAGTACTATATCAGTATCAATATCAAAATCAATATCAATTTAATTGTATATAATAAAATATTTCAATATATTTATAGCTAAAATATATAAATGTAATATATATATATACACATTCACTGCTATAATATGAAAATGAAGTCTCATATGCTCATCAAGGCTGCATTTATTTGATATAAATATAGTATAAATATAGTAAAAACAGTAATATTGTTAAATTTATTTACGGTCACTTTTGATCAATTTAGTCCATCCTTGCTAATTAAAAGTATCATTGTTATTTTTTTAAATCCTTACCCCAAACTTTTAAGTGTAATTATATCACGATTTGCACAAAGATATTAAGCAGCATTGAGAGTAATAAGTTTATTGAGCAGCAAATCAGGATATTACAACGATTTCTGAAAAATCATGTGACACTGAAGACTGGAATAATGGCTACTGAAACTTCAGCTTTGCATCACAGGAATAAATTATATTTTTAAATATTTAAAAAAAAGAAAACAGTTATTTTAAATTTTAACAATATTTTACAATATTACTATTTTACTGTAATTTTGACCAAATAAATACAGCCTTGGTGAGCAAAACAGACTTTTCCATGTTAATTAAAAACACACATAATCATAATGAAGTCTGATCACCTTGAAAAGTTACAGCATAAGATTTGAAGCATCAAAAAAAGATAAATATCAAATCTTACTAAAAACAGAAGGACACATATCGTGATCAGGATCCCACAGAGGAAGAGTGGCATGGAGAGGTGAAACAGGTGAAGTGTGGGACATTTTCAGTCCATTTTTAGGCTTTATGATCACAATGAAACACAAGATTGCATGATTATGAGTAATCACGAGAGTAGGACTCTTCAGTACAAGCTGCTGATTTTCAAAAACATGAATTACTGCAATTCGGACAGATATAATTCTGGATATCCGTGCAGACAACTCAAAGTCAGCCTGAGCATGAAAAACAACAGTGGAGAAGTAAAAGGGCTTTAAGTAACACATTCACACTCCTTGTGATAAATGAAGAGTCTCTTTATGGACTCAGTCGGACAGTTCTGCTACATGACGATGAGATCTGGACGACTGTATATGACTCAAGACTAACCTTGACTCACTAGAGTGCCTCATCTACGAGCTCTTGGGAATACGAGGGCTTAGTGGTAGTCAGAGGTAAGTGCAGACCCTCCAGCTTATAAAAGCCCATTCTCCCACAAAACAGGCAATCAGCTACACTGCCCTGGGCCATCATGAGCTCCAGAAATACACACGCACCCACAGACATTTACAAAGAGAGAGAGAGAGAGAGAGAGAGAGAGAGAGAGCGTCCTTCCATTATTGCTGCTTTTATGTACACTAAATTCTAGGTGACCAAGTTAGAAGACATATGCTATAAAGGACATTGAAGGCAAAGTTCAGTGACAGAATTTTTTTTTACCTCCATGTCATTCCAAACCTGTATGCTTTTACTGTATAACACAAAAGTCGAAATGTTTAAAGAATTTTTATGCAGTACAATGAGTGATTGCTTTTGAAAGAAGTCTCTTATGCTTACCAAGGATGCATTTTTTTTAACCAAAAATACAGAAATATGTAGCAATATTGTGAAATATTTTAACATTTTACAATAACTGCTTTCTATTTTAATATATTTTAAAATATAATTTATTCCTGTGATCCAAGCAGAATTTTCAGCATCATTACTCCAGTTTTCACACATGATCCTTCAGGAATCATTCTAATAAGCTGATTTGGTGCTCAAGATGCATTCCTTATTATTAAATAAAAATAAATAAATAACATTTAATAAAAATAAAACATTTGGCTGAACTTTATTTCCAGTTTTAACTGATTTTATTTATTTATATATTAATTTATTTCAATTTTAATTAATTAATTAATTAATTTAGTTTTAGTCAAGGTTGAGTTTTTTCAGCATTTCCATAAACTATCTCTTTAAGCTGAAAACAACATCACTCTGTTTCTCTGGGAAGAACATGTACAGGTGGTTGAGAAGGCATGTAATGACTGGAATGGCATTATATACTTCCATACTGAATAAAATGAAGAGCATTAATATTCGGAGTTCAAAGAGAGTTGGTAAAATGTTCCATGAAGACCTGAGGGTTTTCGGCTTGGTTTAAAATGTCACACAGTGGTGAAAGGCTTTGGGCAGCATCTCTGTGAGCCTTTATCCTGCAATAACATTTAAATGGATCCAAAGAGGGTTTTTTTTAACGAAGCTAACAGCAGGTTCAAACGCCAATGGCAGAAAATAGCCGACTTGGACATAAAAGAGAAGTACAAACAACAAAGCATTCGAAGACAGACCTTAAAACAAAATTTATTCTTAAAGGTTAGGGAGCAAATTAACTTGGAAATCAGCCACCGTGGAGACCATTTGAAAGGAGACCATCTGGCAGCGTGGCTTTCAAGCGCTATATCGCTCTCTATTACCGCCTTTGATGTCTGTCATATTGGATTAAAAAGAAAAAGCTTCTTCTGAAGACCAATGGATGCTATTTTAAACAGAGCCACCTTGTGGAGTGACGGCCGGGACAGAAAGAGAGATGACTGAATGGCTGGATTTGGCCACAGAAAAGATAAAGTGGCGATTTTCTA